ACATCGAAGGGTCCAAATTGTTCTGACACAAATATACACTATGACAGTTTATTCAAGACTGGTTCAAGAATGTGAGTTAGTAAGACTGAACGTAAATGCCAAGCAACAAATAACTCACCTTTTAGAACCTTCTAGTTTAGGAACAGTAACAACAAACCATGCACTTAACACAAATGAGAAAATACCTGTAAACATGTCCTTTATGGCATTTAGTTCTTATTGTTACTACGCATTTCCTTAGATATAATACCCTCAAACGTGAGGTATCAATCAAAAAAAATCGTAGTTTGGTCCTAGAGCTCTACAGACGACGCGAAAAAGTGATCGCGATCGCTTTAATCCATATGTTTCGCCGCGACGCTTGACTCCTGGGCACCAACACTCGTCATCCATGGCATGCGTCGTTGCACTATTGGTTGAAAAAAATTCTCGAGCGTAAACGTTCGTTTTTCTTCCTCCGGGTAATAGTAATTTCTGTTCCAACATCCAGTTGCGGATTTGAGCACCACACCGCTGATGATGCCCATGTATTTCCTACCTAGAATGTTGAACAAGTCTGGTACAAAAATTATTTGTCGATTTAATACCTCGAGTGCCAGGTCCCTCCCATGGTATCCCTTGCGTGGCTGAATCATGAACTCCTTTGTATGTGGGGAAGGTTTATCTCAGGTAATTCGCCCTCAGAACACGTTGTTTCACTTGTAGCTCAGGCGCAGTCCTGTTCTTAGTTGGCTATGTGCAGCGTCGACTCCACGGGATATCTACTTGTCCCTTTGCTTTGATATCTGCCGTGGTTCTTCTCGCCCATGCTTTGTAAGTAAACATCCCCGCTGCGTTGTCGGAAGTTTTTTCGCCAAAAAACTGCCAATTCCCACTCTTTGAAAGTGAGGAAGCGGCTGAGAGAAACCGTCCAGTCAAAAAAAGGTAGGCTTTCGGTCACATACGACAACAGCCATTGTGCCCTGCACGACTGATTCCCAAAGCGCTCGCTGCTTTTGCGCTCTCGTGGAACTCTTGATCA